TAGAACAGATTTTCTTTATCATTGCTGTCTAAAGTTCTGCAGTTTTGGTATATATTTTCTTATTGGCTCAGGAGTTTTTAGGAGAAAGTTTTAAAATTTCCAAGTAGAGGTTCTTTTGATTTATTGGTTTTACTATTACTGTAGTTTGAGTTGCATTTTGATGAGAGAATACTGACTCCTCTTTTGAACTTTTGGGTTTCGGGAAGTTTTCTTGTGGCCCTAACATGGAGTCAGGTTTCATCACTGTTCCACTGGGGCTTAGAAAGAAGATTGAGTTTCTATTTCAAGTTGGAAGAGATTTGATGTGTATGACAATGAATTTTACCATCTTATTTGTTTTATTTAGGTCGTGTATAACCTTTACTTAGTTTTTGTTCTCTTGCTGTGTTGTGGACCAAGAGAAGTGAATTAGTCTCTACCATTGGTACATTTCTGCCCATTTCCCCTTGTGGCTCTAGTGAATGTTGGCAGCTATGTTGTCTGGTGCATAGCTATTTGTAATTATTATATTTTTTTCTGAAGTGCACCCATTAGTATCAAAGTACCCTTTTCCTCATTTTTACTTTTTGTGACCATAAGATGATGACTTGTGCTTTCCTGAGTTTGTATTGCTTACCACATCTTTGCCCATTCTTTATGTTTAACCCTTCTAGACTACTTTAAATGTGTTTCTTATATGTCACATAAAGGTGGGTTTTCCTTTGTGATTCAGTCTGAGAATCTTTTTCCCCCACTTTCTCTAGGTAAGTTCAACTAATTTACATTTATTGATAGGTCACATACATTTCATCTTAGTTTTGTCGTGTGTGTGTTTGTATTTTTTTAGTCTTTTGTTCTGTGATCTGTTTTCTTTTGTTTTAGTTTCTGTAGTTTGATATTTGGGAGAGTCTATACCTTTGTCTCTATGAGATATTGTAATAACATCTCATATAATGTCATATACTGTCTGTAGCACTGTATGTCTGTGGGGATCATTTATTAAGTATCTTCTGTGATGGACAGAATGTCATTTCCCCCCATCCTTGCCTTTCCCCCAGTTAACCACACTGTACCCTGGCATCAATGAGCATGTCATGGTACATGGCAGAAAGGGACATTGCAGATGTGATTGAGGTTATGGACCTTAAAGTAGAACGACTACCCTGGATTACCTGGGTGGGCTCAATGTATTTAGCTGAGCCTTGAAAAGCAGAGAACTTTCTCCAGCAAAAAGTGAGAGAGGTGTGGTGAAGGGATGTCAGAGAAGTCCCAGTGCAAGGACTGCAGCAGAGGGGTGTAGGAGCTAAAGGCACCCCCACCTCCCACCACAAGCAGCAAGGACACAAGTACCTGGACTCTTCCTGCAACCCAAGTTGTTTTTCCAGCATCTCCAGGAAGGAGCACAGCCCAACTGGACTTCTGACTTAAGGAAACTGTGGGAGAGCAAATTTGTGTGCTTTGAGCTGCTGAATTTGTGGTAATTTGTTATGGCAGTGATAGGTGACTAAGACATCTTTTTGAGTCATTATAAAATTAATGTGTTTTGTTATCTTTCTCCCATCACCCAGTTTTAGCTAACAATAATACCTTTCTCAGTGTTTGCTTTTATACTCTGACATTTACTTGTATTTCTGTTATTGAAATGTCAGCTTTAAATGATACCCTTTGGCTGCATTTCTTACTGACGGCGCGATGAGCTAATTATTTCTCATCTTTTCGCATGTCTCTCCCCCCCCCCAGTTTGTGTCATTTGAGTCATTACTCCGTAGTTGGGGACTGTATTATCTGCTTTCTTGTCTGTCACCATGAGCCCACATTGGTTTCTGTCTTACATCCACAGATAAATATATTCAATGCTCATTGACAGCCCTTTTGATCGTGTTTCCTCCATCAAATCTTGATCAGCTGAGGTTTGTCTTGGGGATGTTTTCTCAGAATGGCTGATGGGAATGGTGGCCCTGAGTGCTGGATGTTCAAAACTGTGGCTTTGGGGCTTATAGGACAGCTTGAATGTTGATGGAATCCTTGGTCGAGACTGTCATTCTCTGACCATTTTGTAGATGTCACTCACTGTCTAATGATTTGAATATTGCTTTGGAGAAATCTGAGGACTACCTGGTTTCCCTTTATAAGTGATTTAGTTTCTCTCTTTTTACCTCATTCTGTTCACTTTTCTTATCTCTATCATTTGTAATACTTTTTAAATAGGATTTTTTTGTTCATTTAGTTGTAGGAGTTTATACACACAGACGTATATATGTATATATTCTGGATATTAATCCCTTAACTGATATGTTTTCTCCCATTTTGTGAGTTGCATTTTCATTCTGTTGATAGTATGTGTTATAGCACCAGCCAGCTACCCGCCAGAGGGTAGATTGAAAAAGAGACCGCACCCAGAAAATTGAATTCAAAGGGAGTTTATTCTGGCCAGGACAGCAGCAGCCAATTTCTGAACTGTGCTCTGAGCCTAACTTACTTTCAGTTTTTAAGGTCTCCTCGGTGCGGATCTTCCATTGTATTTTTAGCCAATGCAAGCAAGCCTCGAGTACATAAGCTAATTTTGCAGTTAGCAATCAGCAGGGGCTCTCCACCCTTCCCTTCCCCCCTCTTTACTTTCTTAAACAAAACAAAATGGATTTTTTACATAAAATGATGTAACCTATTTCAAGCTTTGAACTGTCAGCTAGTAGCCGGATCTGATGGCTTCAACACTTATACGCATAAACTGCATCCTGTGGGCACACAGGATGTTCTGCAAGAGCAAGCAAGCTGGTGTAAAGAAGCCAAAATATGCAAATTATAGCAGAGCATACAGTTTTGCACAAAAAAAAAATGTTTAGTTTAAGTGGGTCAGTGGTTGTGAGTTAAACCTAGGTAAAGAAGCTTCTTGGGTATGGGTCTATCACGCCTGGGTATAAGGGCAGGAAATGTGGTTACTTGAGGTGGGGTCTGTTTTAGAGAGCTACTCTGTTTCATCTACATAGGAAAAAGCTGGCAGTCTGTGGTTTTCTTGCTAACACGGGAACAGGCTTGTGACCTCAGAACTATAGAGTGTAGAATGTATTTAGCTGTTTTTACAACTGGGATAAAGATGGGGTCAGTCATGTTAACTTGGAACATATGGTTTGATGCAAAAAAGTTTTTAATTTTGATAAAACCCCATTTTCTATTTTTTCTCTCATTGTCTGTATTTTTGGTGTCATAGATAAGAAATTATTTCTAAATTCATTGTCACAAAGCTTTCCTATGTTTTCTTTTAAGAGTTTTATAATTTTAGGTTTTACATTTAAGTCTTTGAAAAATTTTGTGTTCATATTTGTATATGGTTTAGGGTAAGGGTCCAACTTCATTCTTTCGCATGTGGCTGTCCAGTTTTTCTAGCACCATTTGTTGAAAAGGTGATTTTTTCCCCATTGAATGGTCTTGGGACCCTTGTTGAAGATCTGGAGCTTCCTACCTGATGGAGCTGGGGCAGTGCGTTCATCCCTGCAGCCTGTCCTGTGCCCCTGGTAGCCTCCTCCGGTCCTCCCTGCAACCTCTCTGTGCAGCTCATTTACACATTTGCTGTTTCCCCCTGAGGGGGCTGGGCTACCTGCTGGCAGGAGGCTGCGGGACTGGTCTGAGCCAGGAGCACATGATCTGGTTGAAGAGCTCCAGGGAG